CAATGCTGTCCGGGGGTTGATTTAAGGTGGGTGGGGGAGTCAAAACCCCGTCAAATGTGTAACAGGGAGGTTTTCGTAAAATATTCCATCATTGACTAGAAGGAGGGCTTTGGGGACGCACTCTTGACCACGAGTTATCTAATCACCCTATCAGAGCAAAGTAGAATGCGTGCATCCAAGCAAGTTAAGATCGTACGCACATGTTATAATGATGCTTCGAAAAAAGACAGCATATTGCGGATTCCAAATTTTAGGGTGATTTGGATTATTGTAAACGTATGCAAGCTGGCCTAAGCTTATAAGTAAATTAGGCACAGACTGTTTTATATTAAGCACAAGAAATTCAGATATCAGACAGTCATAATCAGAGAACACCACACTATCATAAGTTTATATCGAACATATGTACAGTACGCAGACAGAGGGAGTGGGAAGGGGAGTGAGAAGGGAGTTATCTTTTCGAAAAACCGAAAGGGGGGCATTTTTATCTGAAATGACGCCCTTCTAAGCCCCTTTTGATATTGAAGTGTCCGGCTTCTTATCACGCTAACATATGGCAATTTGCGATAAATAGCAACATCTGCCCACAATAAGACTAGAACAATGAACTTTTATGTCAAATGACTTTGGATCTTCCCTAACGCAACATTTTGGCTCAAATAATAGAGCATATTGTTGAATAACCAAATGAATGCAAGTAAAAATTTCAGGTTTCACTTGTCCTATAATATTCCCTTTATTGCGACAACCGTACTCTCAAGACCTAACAAAATATGTACAAACGTTTGATCCAAACTACGTTGTCATCCTTTATGGGAATCAAAAATTGTCTATGCACGAAAAATGTGCCAAGAGAAATTAAAAGGCTTTCGGTAGATTTGGTTATGGCCCACGTTAATTATCTCGAGTAACAGGACTTCAGAATGCCGTTCGCCATTATCCAGAGACCCCATTTTGTCACCGTTATTATTATTATTATTATTATTATTATTATAATTCTGGTCGTCAGAAGCAGGAGAAATGGCAGCGGCGGTTCCATTAAAATGGTCACTGTGTGGAGTGCCAAGTTAAAATGGCGCATTTATCCTTTTTTCAAGCGTGCTACTTTGGGCGTTGATTTAGAAGAAGTAATGGAAAAACTTTTAGTTTTACTGTTAGGCGCAGAGACGGTGATAATTGCTGCAGGAGTAGTCTTAATAATAATATTAATAACAGCAATACTTTTGCCGCGAATTCTTGCATTTTACTTTTTTTTAACTTTCATGTAAATTGCTGTCTGTTAGTGACCAGCTTAGCGAGTTACATAGACCTTATTTAAGCATGACTAGCCTTTGAATTTGCAGATTCCGTTCCTGTGGATCGTTCGACTGTAACTGAATTAAGAAACAGTCGTGGGGGGAATTTTTATAACCACCTTGCAAACCTGAGTTTGTGTATGGCTGGCTCATGACGGTTAATGAGCCAGAAATGACGATCACAGTTTCCCTTGTCTTTGTCGGCACTGTGCATCTGACTGTTTGTACCGTTGTTTGCTTACTGTGACGGGTACTTGCGTGACTAGGTGGTTCTGGCCAGCGCAGCATGTGCTTTCGTACGAATCTTCTGCCTTATCGCCTTATGTCTCCGTTTTTGGACGGGGGGGAGGGATAGGCGCAGCTGTTTAGGCCGGCTCCCCGCGTCGTAGTTCAAGCACAAGTGCTCATTTTCTACATCCCCCTTTTTTAAGGTTGCATGTCGGAGGGGATCTTCAGGAAGACGGGGAACCTACTCCGCCGTCGCCAAATTTGCGAATTCCTACTGCATTCGGACTCAAATCTGGACACCTTTGACTGGCAATCCTTTTCCCCC